TGGGGGAGCGTCACCACCAGGCCGCTGTTCTCCCGCATGGTCTGGCGGATGATCTCGTAGGCCTTCGGGTTCCCAGCCCAGCAGCGCCGGGCCACCTGGGGAGGGAGGATGCGGCAGGCAGCGTGCCTGTCACCGGGGTCCCCATGTGACCTGACCCCATCCACGTCAGGGACCTTGGATGCTGTGCGTCTGCCCCGGCCTGGCCTCCTAGCCCGGGCCTCCCCTCTTGTCCTCCTTCGAGGGTCTGAGCCCTGCCTCCCCCTCTTCCCGGCTGCCTGTAATATGGTCTTGGGGACGTCCCCCACACCCAGAGGATGCTGCGTCACAGTAAGGGTGGGTCGTGGCGGCACGACCGAAGACCCTCCCAGCTGCACCCTCTGCCCCGCCTTCGAGGACGGGGGAGCGGGGAAGTTGAGGCAGAAGCTGCCCACCGCCAGCACGGGGGCTCCGCCAAGACGCAGGGCTGGGACTGCCCCCCGGGGGGGGGACGGAAGGAGGTGGAGGGGCGTAGGGGGGACTCACGCCGTTGCAGACGTCCCAGCCGAGCATCATCCTGGCTTTCTGCTCGGCCTCCGGGGTCCCGTCCAGCACGAGGCCGAATCCCCCGTTAATCGCCTCACCCCTGCAAGAGGCAGAGGGGTTTCGGGGTCTCTCCCCGGGCCTGACCCCGCACGGAGCAGGGTTTCCGAACTGCGGGTTGCGGGGGGCTGTGCTCTGTCTGTCTCTGCAGCCCGCAGGGGGACGCAGGGCCGGAACGGGGCGTAGAGTAGCCCCCTGCCGGCTCCTCTATTTTCAATCTTTCTTGTTTTCTAATTATCGCGTTTCTCTGTGTAGCGTTTTGACAGCCTCTAACGGGTTGCAACGTGTTCTTGTTTTCATTTCGTTTTTTTTTTTTGAGACAGAGTCTGGCTCTGTCGCCCGGGCTAGAGTGTCGTGGCGTCAGCCTCGCTCACAGCAACCTCCAACTCCTGGGCTCAAGCGATCGTCCTGCCTCGGCCTCCCAGAGTGCTGAGACTACAGGCATGCACCACCACGCCCGGCTAATTTTTTCTATATATCTTTAGTTGCCCAGCTAATTTCTTTCTATTTTTAGTAGAGACGGGGTCTCACTATGTTGCCCAGGCTGGTCTCGAACTCCTGACCTCGAGCGATCCTCCCGCCTCGGCCTCCTGAGTAGCTGGAACTACAGGCATGCACCACCGTGCCCGGTTAATTTTTTCTATGTATTTTTAGCTGTCTAGCTAATTTCTTTCTATTTTTAGTAGAGACAGGGTCTCGCTATGTTGCCCCGGCTGGTCTTGAACTCCTGACCTCGAGCGATCCTCCCGCCTCGGCCTCCCGAGTAGCTGGGACTACAGGTGTGCACCACCATGCCCGGCTAATTTTTTCTATATATTTTTAGCTGTCCAGCTAATTTCTTTCTATTTTTAGTAGAGACGGGGTCTCACTATGTTGCCCAGGCTGGTCTCGAACTCCTGACCTCGAGCGATCCTCCCACCTCGGCCTCCCAGAATGCTGGGAAGACAGGCGTGAGCCACTACGCCCGGCCTCCCCTGAGGTTCTGTCCCTCCGATGAGTCCCGGCTCACCCGAGGAACGCACCCTCCGCAGAGCCTGTGGCAGAGGAGGTGGCCCGGGGAGGTGGCGTCCAGGACTTCAGCCACCCCGGGAATGCCCGAGACTCCCGCGTCAGCCCACCCCCCGTTCTGTTCTCCGAAACCTTCTTACCAGCCCACGCCCCCTCCGTTGTGAAGCGCCACCCAGGTGGCTCCGCGAAAGGCGTCGCCCACAAAGTTCTGCACGGCCATGTCTGGGGAGACAGAAGCCACCGCCCGCCCGTCACTCCCTGCGCCGGGGGCGGGGGGCCGGGCGCGGGGCCGCGACAGGCTCAGGCCTGGAGAATGGGGCAACAACAGGGCGAGCAGGGAGCTGGGGACACACGCCCCTTGGCCCCATCCTCCTTCCCTGTAGTCATCCTGATGAAGCACCCAGATGCAGGAGGCGCAAAAGAATTTAAGAGACGTGGGACCAGGGTCAGCTCAGAGATGCAGAGAGCCGGAGAGCATCACTCTCGTCCTGAAAAAGGCGGGTGGAGGCACTAACTGCCGATGAATGACTTTCTCCAGGTCCATCAGAGTTGGGGAAATCTTTCTTTCTGTTTTTAGTACAGACGGGGTCTCGCTCTTGCTCAGGCCGGTCTCGAACTCCTGACCTCGAGCGATCCTCCTGCCTCGGCCTCCCAGAGTAGCTGGGACTACAGGCATGCGCCACCATGCCCGGCTAATTTTTTCTGTATATTTTTAGTTGTCTGGCTAATTTCTTTCTATTTTTAGTAGAGA